GAACTTGTCTTCCTTGACTATATACAATGTGGGCAGAAAGAGTTTTCATGGATGTCTTCTCATAGATTCAGGACATTTGTTTAAGTAAATAAGAAGAATGAGGATCTTAGGCAGGTGTTGGTGGACTCTCAATAGTTGTCCAGACCTGTTCAAATGGACATACAGGATTTCATTATTTTTTGCCATAAATCAGTCAGATGTTAAACCAACTGAATGAAAGTTGGTGGTGTTGTAAATGGCTTCAGAACATCGGGAAGTTTCATCATGGCTCGGCTTGATCTGCAAGTCTGGTAAAGGAAGACTCCCCATAGAAAGAGCACTTGTGTGGAAGTGGCTATGTTCACACAAGGAGATCCCAACAGTGCTGACAGAGGCAGATCTCCAAGTCTGAAGAGGTTGGCAGTCATTCTTAATGAATATATTCCTTTAGTTACTACTGAAGCCATGATTTTATCATTTCTCACAATATATTTAGCTTTTTATCTAACCTTTTCAATCCTGTTTTCCCTCTCTTCAATCAAACGTCCATAGATCTTCCTAAAATAGCTGATAATTGGCATGCAAAAGGAAATTTTGCTTAAAATGCTTCATTCCATTCCTCAATAGATTACAAAATGTAGACTGACATCCACCATAAGTAACTTTTGTCGTGTGACATTAGACATGTCCATACATTTTTATTTCTCTGTGTCTTCATGTTTCAACATCATGTGTCTAAGTAAGCATTACTTCCCTATCTTCTTTAGAGATTCCTATTTGTATTTTATTTCTAGACTAAATTATCCCCTCTCTGGAAGCCAACTTAAATGATACCATGCAGAATTAAATAATTCTTCCTTTAATATGATACTTAAATTTTAACCACATATATACTTTTTAGCTATAGTATTCTCTTTTGGTGCCAAGAAATTTAACAACTGTGCTTTTGTAAATCATAAATTGTCCAAACATGGAATTTTTAAAGTAATAAATTTTCAGTTTTTACTGTAGAATGTGTTTTATTCCATTTCTCTTAACTGTGCCTGAATTACTTCTGTTGCCTGGAATAATCTTCCACCTCCTCTGGTTATTTTTTACTCAGATGTAAATGTATTTTACTCAAACTTTCTTTGAGTCAAAAAAAAGTTATTTTTCACTTCCCAGTGAAAACATTTTAGATCACCATCATTTAGAATTGTATTCCCTCCTACTTGTTTCTGTCTTTTTTCTTTGTGGTTCTCATCTCTGGGGAACAAAGTATATATTTTTCCTTAATTTGTTTATTGTCAGTCTCCTTTTACTAGTATGTTAGATTGTAATGTTTATATATATATATATATATATACATACAATTTATATATATATACACATATAATTTATATATATATAAAGAACAATATATATATACTGCCAAGAACAATGCCTGGCATATGTAGTAAACCCTGAGTTATGTTATCTCTTTATCATACATTCATAGTTTTATGGCATTGCCTTCAGAAAATGTTTGTTCTACAGTTCTTACCTAAAATACTTATTAAGATTTTTGTAGCACATATGGTTTGAGAGCACTTACAAAGGGAATTAAAAATACATAAGTATTCTCGATGATATGTGTGTGTGTGAATTCAACTCATATCCTAAATGATCTGTTAGTGATTATCAGTTATGTTGTCTGAATTGTGTTTCTCTCAAATCTAACATTCTAAGTAATTTTTAAAGATACATTTTAATTCTGTGCTTTTAGGACATACAGTTTTATGATTATTATATATTTATAGAATACTTTCATATTTCCTTTTATTTTAAATTATATTTTGTTCAATATTAATAATGTTGCTTTTCTTTTTTACTTGTGCTAGGCTGCCATAAGTTAGCACATGCTTTAACTTTTATACTTACTGCGTTATTTTGTATTATGTACATCTCTTATGATAGTATATGGAGAGTTTTGTTTCATACTCAATTAAGAGATTCAAAAATTTAATACAGAAGTTTAACTTTTATATTATCACTTCCAAACTTTTTAAAACATATTTTTCAACATTTATGTCATAATCTTGCTATCTTTTATCTTTTTATTGCTTTTATTTTTTGTATTTGCTTTCCATTTCCATTGTTCTTATGCTTACTTTAATACATACTTGTTGGTTAACTGACATGTTTTCTTTATTTATTACTTTAATTTTCCTGAGGTTTAGGTTGAAATATTTCAACTTTATTGTTAAACCTGTATTTCTATATCATTGCAGAAATTCAAACAATTGACACTGTCTTCTTATATATAAATAATTTTGGATAATATACCAGTTTGGAGATAGTATTAATTTAGCCAAGAGCTTTGTATTACATAAAATTGTCCTATTGAAATAAAATAGTAATATATTATGGCTTCTATTATTTTTGTAACATTAACAATAAGTTATGTGTAATCATTTTATAAAATTATTGGCACAAATAACTTAATTGGTATGAATAGTCACGTTAGTCTTAGTTAATATAGCCTCCTCATTATTGCGGTCTTAATTTTGAAATGACTACTTCTTGCTGAAGATATAAATTATTTTCTCAAGAAGTTTATATGAGTGACACATTTTTGAATTGCATATTTAATAAGGTTTTCTGTTAACCTCAGAATTAAATGATAATAAGCTGACTACCTATAACATTTGAGTTTATAATATTTGGCCTTAAAAATTCTGTGAGCATGCGGAACTGTTAAAAAGAATGATAAAAATCTATAGAATCTAAATCATAACACAAAGCACTAACAAAGGTTTCCAAATTTCTATTTAAACAATGCAAAATAGCTCAACAGAATAACATAACTTGTGATGATTAATTTACTTTATTTTTTAAATTATTGTTCAATTATAGTTGTTCCCGTTTTTCACCATTGTTCTCCACTGCCCCGCGCACCCCCACTTCCCACGTCATTTTAAGTGCTTGTAACAGTTATCAGTTAATAGTAAATGCTACGCAAGCATATATTAACGTATGACTTTATCTCTCTATCTTACAAATAAGTATGAACTGTTTTTAGTAGGGGATACCTAAGTAACTGCTAATATTGGTTACCTTCAGGTCAGGGACCAGGGGACCAGAGAATGAATAAGGAATTCAATTTTAACTTTACTCCTTAATGTACAGTGTGAATTTTTAATATGTGTACAGATTATTTTCATTTAAATATCTGTAAGAAATAAAGATTAAAAAATCAACCTAATTCCAGAAATAATGCTTTCTTTTTAGAAAAGTTAATATTCCAGGCAACAATTATGAGAAAAAACTGTTTGTATTAATTTGACTTTTCTGCTTGTTTTACCTGTATGTTTTCCTGATTTTTAAATTTTATAAGGCCATGTTTTACCTGATTATTTTTTAAACTTTGCTTTTATAATATTAAAATCCTTTATCTTGTAAATTTGAAATTCTTCTTCCTTATTTCCTATTGTATAGTTGATTATTGCTTCTGTTCTATTTTCTCCTATTTTCATTTGAGAACATGCACATTTTATAATTTGGGACCCTGTTCTAACTGTACCAGAAGTGTCCCTTCTTTTCCTCAAGGCTCTCATTCCTTTTTCCTCCTATCATGTTCTGGACAGGCTGTTCAGTGTTTACAACCTGCCACTGAAGTTGTGCTTTACAATATCTGATCTGCTCCCAACTTGCACAAATGTAGATTATTTCATGTGTAGATTTTCAAATTTCAAAATGTAGATTTTTTGGTTTTATTTCCTTCTCTCATTTAATGTAGTGAGTTTTTTTCCATTTTGATGGTGAATACACTCAGTATGTATTCCTGCTCTAATTTTTAGAGGGTGTACTTTATGTCATATTTGATGACAATAAACAGGTGCTCTAAAATGTTAACTTTATCCTATTTTATGTAGAACACTATTTATTAGACTATGATATTCTTGAAGGCAGAGAGTTTGTCTCACATACCATTTAGATACGCAATGTATTTTTGTATTAATTACTCTGTAATTTAAATAAAATCATGCTAAATGCAATGTACCATGGTGGACTGAATCCTTGAACAGTAAAAAGGCATTAATAGAAAATACTTGTGATTTCTGAATAAAATTCGTAGCCATATTAATGTGCCAATGTTATTTTCTTAATTTTGACAAATATAATAGTTTTATAATGTTAGAGAAGTTAACAGTTAGCATTAAGGAAGACTGTCTGACAGTACATAGAAAATCTGTACTAAAATTATTTTCAAAATAAAATGTTTATCTAAAATTGTAATGAGAAATTTATCATTATCATTATTACATTGACAGATGACATTCAGAAAATTTCACCATCCAAATTGGTTCTGGGCTTCAGCTGTTGTAGGTAATAATGAAATACATTGCTAATTCCTTACCCCATCTCTGTTTTTAAGGACCACTCTTACCCAACTAAATCTAGCTGGTTGAGTCTAGAAATACTCAGGGGTGGTATAAAATTGACCACACAACATTGCTTTAAGTTGTTCTATTCTGGAAGTTTTGTAAACTGCTGCTGTCAAACTTTTGGAACGAGTACCCTTGCAGCTTCGGCAAGAGGCCAGTTCTCTGCCAGTTCATGGATCATTGCCATTGAACTCTGCACAGAATTAAGAGAATTCTCTTCTTACTCACCCCCTGCTGTTCTCTGTCACCTTGTAAAAATGGTCCTGTCAGCTTTACCCTTTGCCCTTTATTGTCCATAGAATGACATATCTGGTCCTGTAGTCTAACTAGTAAACACAAACCATTCTATTCTCCTGACAAAATTTAGGATACTCTTGACCTTCCTTCAGTCAAAAAGTAATAGATTACCAGCCTTCAACATGTCTGGAAATAGGCATGGGTTCTACTTTGTACCCTAAGCTGGGCCATTCTGCTACGGCTTACATTTTCGGGCTAAGGTTAATAGAAAACTCATAGGAATGCTAAAATTTAGACTTGACTGTGACCTGACCTTCAGACTGGACTCAGTCCAGTTGGTCATCCTGACTAGGAAAACTAATGACCAGTGGCAACCAAGTAATACAGTTGTCTGTCTGCTTGTTCATGTTGTCAGAGGTGAAAGACCTCCTGTTCCATTTTAGAAACTCTATTCAAAAAGAAAATATGTCTAGAAGATATTGTTTATAGTTACTCCACAAATATTAAGGAGTTCTTGAAAACCAGTGTCATCTGCCTCTGAAAATAAAGATCAATAGATGAAATTTTGAATGTATACTTGGAAAGCTTGAAATGGCTCTGGGGTGAGTATGGGTCATTTTCTACTTTCATGAGTTTAACTGTTCTTGTCATGATCCTGTCAGAGTTTCTTCTGACGCTGAGAGCCTTTTCCAGTTCCTTGCCCCGAAGACTTCTCTGTGTTAGCTGAAGAGGTTGGTGCTTGGTTGAATCTTGGTTAATGTCCAGATATCTAAATAAATGCAGCCAGTGGACATCAGAAGTGGGTTTTCTTCTCAAATAAACCCCAGCATTCTAATTTTTAAAAAAATGTTATATGATCTTACTTATAAGAGTAATCTAATGAGCAAAATAGAACCAGAGGCGTAGAATCATGGAACAGACTGAGAGCTGTAAGTTGGAAGAAAGAAGTGGGAGACTGATTGAAAGAAAGCAAAGGGATTAGTCAAAGAACATATATGAAGAACTCATGGACATGGACAGTGGTGAGGGACTGATATGGGAGTGGGAGTGATCTGGGTAAAGGGGGCTGAAGGGGAAAAGAGTGGGACAACTGTAATAACATAAACAATTAAAATAAAAATAATAAACAATAAATAAAATTGAGAAAGAGAGAGAGAAATAGAAGAGAGATTTTTATCCACTTATTTATGCATCCACTGGCTGACTACTGTATGTCCTCTGATTGGAGATTGAACCCATAACCCCAGTGTATCAGGACAATGCTCCAGCCAACTGAACTACCCAGCCAGGCCTGTTTCAGCATTCTAAAATATAACAGCTCCCCTAGATTCAGCCCACTATTCTTTATTCTTGGTTAATAATCACATTGATTTCTCTTATCTAAAGAATTTCCATTTGGAATACGGCCAGAGAATATAATGAATATAATTTGTTCTTAATGCCTTTTCTAATTGCCCTCATTTCCTTAATATTTTACACCATGTTCTAAGAAATTAAAAGGTTGTTTTATTCCATTTTCATATCATCGTATTTTTAAGTGTAACGTTTTTCATAACAAATACAAATAGGATTCCAGGCCTGAATAATTTAGAGTAAATACCAAAGGATTTCTTGGCTTACCAAGCAAGGGTTGAGGACTTTTAAGTTGAAGCATAAATAAGAACTATACTATATATAGTGTAAAATGGCTAGAGTTTGTCGGCACCTAACATATTGTTTGTACTCAATAAATATTAAATGATAGCATTTACTAAAATGACAATTTCATGAGTCACTACCTTTTCATAACAGACAAAGAAGAATTGCCGCCAGCTATTTTGCAAAATTTTGAATAAAAGCTCTAACTCGTTTAAAGAACAGGCATTTCAGACTAAAAGGATATTAAGAAATAAAAATGAATCATATTTTTTCCAAATTCAAAATAAAAAGGTAATGGAAACTAAATTTATTAGACCTCTAATTGTGTCAAGACAAATCTAATTTTCTTCCAAAATCATACTCTAATCATGAAATTTTATTGATACCCACATGCCTGCTGTTATTTTTATTTTGCATAATTCAGCACCCTCACTCATGAAAAACAGCCCATGGTTTTTAAATGCATGGCCAAAGGCAGAGGCACTGTAGTTGTGTTTTCTGCACCTGACTGCATATTGGGATCATCTGAGAGTCTTTCTGGTTTGTTTTTAATACAGATTTCCAGAGCTCTCACCTAATTTCTAAATTATAATCTCTGACATTGGGGCATAGGAATCTGTATTGTTTTCTCAAGATCTTTAGGGATTTCTGATCACCAACTGACATTCAAAAATCATTACTGTTTGTTATTAATATTTTTAGAAAAGTATTTGATAAATGGAATCCATTGTTGTTAACAATTTAAAATCCAACAGGAAAAAAACCCTGTCTTGATATGTTTTTAAATTAATCTAACCCATCATTTCTACATTCTTTTTAAAGAAGATAGGTGTTTTTCTAGGCACTTAGCCCTAGTATTTTTTTGAGTTTTAAAAATTTTTATTTAGTTATTTTTCAAGTACAGTTTTCTGTTTATTTCTCCCAGCCCATCCCACCCCTCCCCCATGTACCCCACCTCCCTCCCATTTCCAACCCCCTTAGTTATTGTCCCTGTGTCCTTTATACTTGTTCCTCTAAATCCCTCCCCTTTTTCCCCCTTAAATTCCCTCCCCTCTCCCCTCTGGTCACTGTTCCCCTGTTCTCTGTTTCAGTGTATTTGTTTTTATTTTGCCTGCTTGTCTGTTTTGTAGTTTATCTTCTGTTAAAAGTGAGATCATATGGTATTTGTCTTTCAACACCTGTCTTATTTCACTCAGCATAATGCTTTCCAGTTCCATCCATGTTGTTGAAAAGGGTAGTAGTTCCTTCTTTCTCTCTGCTGCATAGAATTCCATTGTGTATATGTACCACAATTTTTTGATCCATTCATTTACTGACAGGCACCTAGGTTGCTTCCATCTCTTGGCTATTGTAAATTGTGCTGCTATGAACATTGTGGTGCATAGGTTCTTTGAAATTGATGTTTTGGGATTCTTAGGATATAATCCTAGCAGTGGAATTGCTGGATCAAAAGGCAGGTCGATTTTTATTTTTCTGAGAAAATTCCATACTGTTTTCCATAATGGCTGTACCAGTCTGCAATCCCACCAACAGTGAACTAAGGTCCCCTTTTCCCCCACAACCTCTCTAACATTTGTCGTTTGTTGCTTTGTTTATGATAGCCATCCTGACTGGTGTAAAGTGGTATCTCATCATGGTTTTAATTTGCATCTCTCTGATAGCTAGCGATATTGAACATTTCTTCATGTGTCTCTGGATCTTCCGTATGTCTTCCTTGGGTAAGTGTCTGTTCAAGTCCTTTTCCCATTTAGAATAAGCCTTAGCTTTCCTCTCCACATGCAGCCGTCCCTTGCTCCTAGTGATTATACTGCGCTAATGTCTTCTAAATTAACCCTTTTCTTTCTTTTACCATACTACTGCCCTAACTCCGATAATAATTATGATCCTGCTTTACATCTTTAGCTTCTTTCCCATTGTGGAAGAGAAAAACATATACATTCTCACTTGGTAAGAGAGTACATAGTAGGTGGGTCAAGGGTTTCTCATTGGTTATATTTATGTCACTACAACATGCCACAATGAGCTGCTTCTTTCCTTTTTGAAATTTCTTTGTTTTTTTGTTTGTTTGTTTATTTGTCTACCCTCTGCATAGGGAGTAACACTGAGGATTATGAAGAAATGTGTTGATCTAAAATTTATTTAAATTGGATTATATAGAAAGAGTAGGGATTTTTTCAAGCCAAGGAGACAAAGTAAAGCAATTCTGTATAAAGAAAATAGAGAAAAGCACTTCAACACCACCTTTTTATCCTAGGTTAAATCTAGTCCAGGACTATAGTTTTTATTACAAATCCTACCTAATAACATGCAATATACATGATCCTAAAGATACGTTCAACAGTAAAGCAGGTTAAATCTGACAAGTACATTTCCAAAAATCTTCCAAATTCATCTGTGACCTAGTGGTTAGATACTGAAGTTTTTCTCATTAGATAAAAATTTAGGTTATATTTCTGAAAAATGTGGTAGTTTCCTTATATATAACATGGGGCTTTAAATTTATTTACTAATTATGACCACTAATATCTCTTGATGTTCCTGAATAATTATAGTTTTTATTTTCTGTGTCAATCATCAAGTTTCTACATAGCATAATTGAAAATAATGTATGTTGCAAATATTCAGTATACCATAATTTCTTCTGTATATAAATTGTTGGACCAAATAATTTTTTTAAAAAGGAAAGAAAGAAAATTGTAATGTCATATTAAAACCCTTAATTTTTACACAAAAGATACAACATTCTAACCAAGCTATGACTAGTTATGTATTTTCTTACCTTTCTAATACTATCTTTTGCTTAAAGCACAAATTTCTTTCATGTTTTCTCTCTGAGTCTGTAGTCTATGAGACTGCTTTCTCTCTATTCTTCTGGCCCTATGGTAGCTTTTTTTTTGATTAACAACTGTGATGCTCTGAGATATGAACACTGGCTCTCTTTTTTAAGCAGAGTACATAAACTCTCTTGTTTTAAGCCCTAAGAGGGCATGCATGGCTTTTCTCTAGCCATATATCTGTGTTAAAATAGTTTCAAATGAAAGTTTGCATATTTATTTGCCTTTTACATACTTCCAGTTTAGTCTCTCACTGTCTTTAATCATGTCCTGCTTCCACCTAGGAAGACCAACCATCTCAGTTTGCTCAGGGATGTGGGACTTCCCAGAATAGTCCTTAAAAAACAGGAAAAGTTGATCACCCTAATGCCCTATTTTCTCTGTCAGGGAGATTGCTGATACTTGGTCGATGTTGAAAAATGACATGGCTTTTTCTTCATCTAGAGCATTTTCCCTACCAACTAACTCTTCTTTTGAAACTCAGTTCAGGCAGAACCTCCAGAAACTTGTCTCTGAGCTTCCAAATCACCTGGTGTAAAACATCCTTTTCACGGAGTTTCAAGGCATGGATTATAAACATCCATCTTCCATTTCTAAACTGTGAGAGCTATACTGTATCTCCAAAATGCAACTCAGTAGTTCAAGAAATATAATTTGTATGAATAAAGGAAAGAATTTCTGTCTATGGAGGGAAAGTAACTCTTGCCCTCCATACTTTCAAGCATTCAGTTAGTAGTAATTGCTACCATATAATCAGTCCACAGTGTGTCCCAGGTATTTTTCAACATGACCTTGTCCACTCTCCCCAAATCCTACAATTATCCCAGAGTCAAGTACAGCTGCTTATCCAAGATCACCGTGTTAAAAAACAGTCATACACTAAGAAAGGTCCTGCCCTTTACTACATACCTTCGTGTATCAATATGTTTAGGCAATCAAAAGTGTTCAGCATTCAGAAAGCTGAGTATATGCTTTATAGTATCAAACATCATAGTATATTCTCAGTATACCCTGTAATCAAACACATTAGTAGATGAATACTCACAGTAAATAGCACACATAGTGGCTATAAATAATCTCTCATTAGTTCAGATTAAGTTTTGTCTTCACCTGTATTTTGGAAAGCATTTTCTCCTACTTCATATTTTCTTCTTTTTCATATTCTTGGAGGATTTTAGATTAAAAAAACCATGGACCTGAGGTATATCGGGTATACCTAGGATTTGCGGTCAAGTCTGTCTGATGTCAGAGACCAAAAGCTCTATGATATATTTCTTGCTGGATTACTCTGCCTAACCGCAATGTTCAACAGAACTTTCACTGCTCTGCTGCTTAGCTTTCTTAGTGTTTCTTAAAAAAGGAGTTGCTTTCTATGACATTATAATATATTGCAAACAGATTGTAGTAAAGATCAGTCTTAAACAGTCAAGACAGTTTCCTATAAATACTGAATAAAAGGTAATGTAGTATTTCTGATATGGGTTAGGTATACTCAAGAGTTTTGGACTTTTAATATCTTCATTGAAAATTATTTCAATTGACAGCAGCTATGTATTTAGTATTGTGCCAAGTGATAGAATTACTCATATGCTATGACTAATGATATCTTTGTTTTGTTTTATGATTTCATATTATTACAACATACATATCTACTCACATTAATTTCATCTTAAGAATGTTTTGAGGGGTTCATTGCCTCCCTCGGGAAAACATAGAGCTCCCTGGAGTCCCAGTGAGCCAGGCTCATAACCCCAAGGGTTGGCTATTACACAGTGCACATGTGGGTGATTTTTCAATTGAAAGTCCTAAATGCATATTTTGTTTAAATTGTTCGCATATTCTGCTTTACCTCAGCTGCTGCAGAATTTGTCATCTCATCAATCGTATTTATTAAGATTTCATACTCTTAAAATATTCTCCAGTTGATCTCAAATTGCTTTAATTTTGATCCTGAATTTTGGACCATTTCTGGGAAAAATTAATACATCTTGATTAAGTAGTCATTAAAATAAAATGAGAAAACAATCCTTTAGAGAACTAGGCAGGATTACTTGTCCAATGCTGGTAATTTCTCTTGTTTATTCATTTTTGTCCTTGAGGCCCAGTCCTTAGTAAGTCTCTTCTTTTGTTTTAGGTAGAAATTATATTGGGGAAAAAGCATATAGGACTTGGAGTTTATAATATTATTTATCAGTTCGAATTTTGCCTAATAGATGTTTACATGTCCTTTAGTTTGTTTACTTGTATGTTAAACATGTTGGATAACAGTATTATATATTAGATCTTAAATGCATGGTATTTTTTATCTCACTCAGCTAAAACAGTATAAAAATGGCTCTTCACTATGCTTTTTATCCAGGTTATATTTGTCTTTGTTGTTATAATTCTATATATAAAAGATATAAACTCACTTTTCATATCTGGGTAAAATATAAAACATTCAGTTACTCATCCAGTTGGTTTAAAATGTCCAGATGTTTGGCTTCTTACAGGCAAGCAGCCTCATTAATTTTTACCCTTTCACTGAGATGTTTGTCTTGTTCTGACAAAGTGTAATAGAAAGAGCACTGTTTATAGAGTCAGAAGATTTAAAATGTTTCCTTGATTCATTTGTAGCCCGTGTGACTGACTATAAGTCCATGAAATTTGGTTAATGAAGATACAAGATCAAATATTTTAAGTATTTTCTTAATAAGGACCTTTATGTTTTTGCCTCAGTCATTTGTAAAATAGAGAAACTAATGGCTAACTTTCAGATTGTCATAAAGGTTTACACTGACAATGGATTTAAAAATACTCAGCATGAGATAATGCAGTTAATTCCCAGTAGGAGCTTGTCGAACATGAACTGGAGTTCCATCAGCTGTAAAATGGGAATGATTATTCCTTGTAGGTGTCGCCTACACCTGCTTAGTATGGTTCTGTTTTCTTTCTTTTCCTATTCCTTCCATGGACTTTACATTAGGATGAAACAACAAAGTCATTGTAAAAAATGTAATAAACATGAAAAAGCCCATCTAAATGGAACTTGCTAAGGTATAGCTTATGTATTTTATTGTTTAAAGTCTTATTTTTCTATTTCTATTCTTTGCTCACCTTTTTGTTTTTCAAATGTAACACAATTTTCTAAGCAGTTAGTAAGCTATTAGCTTGTATAATCTTAACGGTGCTAATAGAAACTTTTAAGCAAAAGCAGTTTCATGAAACCCAGGTCTCAGAGGGCAAAAATTTAAAAACTCTTTGTTTAATTGTCATTATATAGCCTCTAATTATTAAGTGCAAATACACAATGGGGAAAAGTAGGCTCACAGTTATTGATACGAAAAATAATACAGTAACTAATGTATAATAATGAAAGAATAAACTGTGTTGTATATACTCACAATTGTAAACCTACTTTTTCCCAACCCTTTAGTATTAGTGTTAATATTTTAGACTTTATGGGATAATACTTGACTGTGTATTAGTCTAGAGTCACTGGAGAATATTGATCTGGGTACAATTTAGGAGGCAGAGGAGAGGGCACTTAATGGGGAAGTAGGAGGGCCCATGGATAAACCAAACTGTAGTGAACTATGGAAGAATAACCAATTTTCGTGGAGTATCCTTCTGTTGGCTCTTCACTTAAAAATTTGCTTGGTAATTATTTAGTAGCTGTTTTGGGGAAGTTTACTTTTTAATCAATTTCCACATAGCAGTTGTACTGGGAAAAAATGGTCAAGATCTTCTATCTGTGCTAAAATTTACACAAATTTACATTTTAAAAAGTCATCTTAGCATAGGTTTTATCCACTCTGTTTAGACGAATGATGTTTTTTAAACCTAGATGTGCCACCCATTTAATAAAAAACAAGTTTATTTGGGGATGAAATAGTTCTAACTCTTCTTACTTGTAGACAGAAGCCATAAAAGTCTACTTGTTATACCATAGCATGAATAAGTTAAATGTAACTTTAATAACTATCCTGAGATTCATTATCCTAACATTGTTTCAGAATCATCTATGAATCCTTGGATTGCTAGCTAGCCTGGAGTCTATGCCAAGTAATATGCATTATAGAGCACTGTCCACCAGGTTGGGAATTAGAAGACCCAGTGTCTGATATCTTTCCTAACACCAATCATTTTATTTTTTAAGTTTGCTCTACAATTCCTATGCAGAAATTTGCTACACAAAACTATTTTGAAAAATGTAAATCACTACACAAAAGCACTATATTATTAGTTTAAGTATTTAGATGTATATAGTCAGTTCATTAATAGTTTACTGTGCTTTACCTTGATACTTAAAATATTTGGTTTATTGAAAATACTTATTTTCCTACTAATTTTCTATCTTTCCACCACCCAAATAGGTAGTTGAAGTGCTCATTCACATAACTCTAAGAAACTCCTTTGTTACTAGTGTTCTGATCCTAACATGGGAAATTTGTGAAGATTCTGAGCTTACTTGAGCTGTTTTAGCTTGGAAGTGATATGTAGAAAATTTGTTCAGGTTTGCTTTTTTGTGCACAGCACCTAGAAATTACATCAAGCATTGCATAACACTGAGATTGATGAGGTGCACCTGCCCAGGACTGACATCTTTAGCTGTTATCCAGAAAAGGTTGTGACCAGGACTGATCCTGGATAGGAAACTGGCCCCACAGAGTAGCATTTCAGCTTCCAGAAAGTATAAGGTGATTCTCATTGACTCAGATGTCATCACCTATGCTTGTGTGTCCTCGGTTGAGGGTCCTAGGGTCCTAAAGCTTATACCTTCCTCTTCTCAGAGAAGGTTGCTGATCTTACCACATTATATTTTTCTGCATCTTACAGATACATACATCAAAATGCCAGGTACTTAATTTCACAGACTAACTTTGCAACTAAAATATGAAACTGTGATCTTCTCTCTACCAGTTAGATACATCCACTCCGTATTTTGAATGGGTCACTTATCACACAAATAAACAAACATTAAAATCGGGTGAGGTAGCAATAACAATATCCAACAATCATATTCAGTAGGAGTATTCATTATAGGGGCCACCTGTGCAGAGAAAATCAGCAGGAAAACCATGGCCTCTGCCCACTGGCTCTGGCAGATTTCTTCCTTGACCCACTTTTGTTTGTAGTTAGGGAATCATTCTTACTGGAATATTCTATAAGACTTCTATAGATTAAATGAGCAACTTCAAGGCCAGGCAGAGTCATGGTATTTGGTATTTGTTTAAGGCCAGGCAGGTTCATGGTATTTGTTCAGATGAAAAAATAGTCACAGAGCCATGGGGATGTCTGATATGCCTTTATTCGTGGGTGAGCAAGCCAAGCATGCTGCAAGCTGTGTGTCTAGCTGCATGTCTCATGTCATGGCCCTTGTTCCCCAGCGTGGCACCCATTGTGGAACCTGCCCCCTGTGTGTCTCTCATCATAATTGCCCCCAGCAGGGGGTCCCTACCTGTGTAAGTACTAGAAGGGAAAAAAGCCAGAAAACTGCCAGAACATTACATAACATAACATAATTCTGTGCATGCCCTCCCACTTCATGTTATGGGAACAGTTTATCGGACCCAGTCTCAAGGCTATGAGAACACTAGTTATCAGGCCCCTGCAAGGCTATGGAAGCACCGTTCCCCTTAGTTTCCCAGACACCTATGTAAGGAAGCCAGACTGCCTCCATTTACCCTACCACTATTTAATATTTTAAAACAAATAGCTTCCCTTTTTGTTTAGATTACCTAAATTTGATTTCTTGAAAATTAAGATAATTTTCAATATGTACTATTTTCTTCAGTGTCATACTGAAGTCTATTGTCTGTAAAGGTGACATGCTGTCTTGATTTGTCTATTGATGGTGGCTGAAATCACACAGTATTCCTTTCTAGCTTAAGTTTTCACTAATTTCCTCAGCTTGGCTGCTGTTTCATGTGAAAGAGGAAAGATTTTTATATCTTTTTATATCTTTGGCTGTTTTATTCCTTATGTGCTGGGAACCACTCTGCCTGGTTTCAGGAGTTGTAACTGCCCCCCATGGCTAAGGATGAGTGAGTGACCTCCAGAATGTGAGCCATTAATGAGATAAAAGCTTGTCTCTGGCAGCAATGCTGCTTCTGCTTCATCCCCTGGCTCCAACGCTTGGTCAGTTAGTCCATGACTTGTATAACCCCTCAGAGGGGAGACAACCTAAGCCAGACATGATCACTTGGGAGGCCATCACGGAAGGACTCGGGGGGCTACAACAAAGAGGGAGTGATGGACCCTCACCCCCCAGCTATTCTGACATAGCCCAAGTCCCCATTTCCATCTGGGAGAAGCACTTCCTGGCTCTAATCCATTTAAGCCTGAAAACCTATAACGGCGAGGGCAGTGCAGCCCCTTGCCAGCTAGAGTGGGGATCTGGGGTGACCAGGAATAAGAAAGAATTCCTAAAATCCTGTGAAGCTTGCTTTGCTAAGAGTGCTTTCATTCATATGATAAGGGTTGGAGCAGGAAATGAGTACATCTCCCAAAGTTTCTGTAACCCCCTTACCTGACAGACACTGACTCAGACTAAGCCCTCAGATTTCTTTGAAATGTTATCTACTGTCTGATTCTTGCCACCTATATTCCTGTATTACAACCCAATAAAAGCCATTGAGGAAGGGGCTCTTGGCCTTTCTCCTCTGAAAGATTGGCCACCTCTCCTCCCCAAGCAGATCATGTCTTGGTAGTGTTACTTTCATCCATGGTGGACGGGGGGATTTGCAGGTAAAACTGCCCCCACACTTATGATGGCAGAGAATTACATTATCAAAATCCCCTTTATAAAGTGTGCATCCCCCAGCCTCCCCTGAAGTTAGCTATGAGAAGTTAGTAAATTCTCTCTGATTAAATATATATACATATATTTAATTATATATATATATATATATATATATATATATATATATAATGACATGTGAACAGAAGAACTGAGAAAAATCTTTATTGAGGTCCTCTATGTTTTTTAAATCTTTTTTGCTGATCTTCCAGGATGACCTTGGAAGCCTTGTATTAAAGATGGTAGAATGGCCATCAGCCTGGTGACTTGAGTGACTTGTCTAAGAAGGCCTTAAAGTTCTCTTCAACTTGACTAAATTCTGTACAGCTTATTTCAGACTTTAGTATCCTGACTTCTCTTTCTTAGAGCATTTACTTCAGAAAATTTGTAGCAGTAAGCTCTTTTTCTGGCCCTTTAAGATGTAAATTTTTTTTAAAGGTTCTTACCAGTTTTACAACCCAGGAACACCTTTCCCCAGGACCCACAGGCCCTCCTTGTGAAACAGAGGAAGGGAGAGCTACTATCTTCCGGTTTCTAAAGGAGGATAGAAGCCTGATTTGACCAGATTGGAGGAGGTGCCTTCATCCAAGTAGTGAAACTGCCTCCTGTCATGAAGATAAGAAAAAGTTTGCTTTTCCTTTGAGTAAAGTCAATTAGAAAACACAGATGGCCTATGCTCTCCCCTCACCAGTGATTTTTAAAACACCCTTTGTTTTAGTCCATTCCAGTTCAGACTGCATTCCTAGTCTCCTTCTGCTAAGAAAAGTATTCCATTGCACTTAATCCACACAAGGACTGAATGAGACTAAACTTCTAAGGTATTAAGATAATGAAATTTTGGAGTCTACTGAAGTTTAGAAGCTAACAAACCCTGACTATTGTGATGATATTTATAGCTGGAAGCAGAAAATGTTGTAATAAAAAGTGTAAAAAATACTAGCATGCCCTGCATTGGCTTAGTGTTTGTGCTATACACAAGCATTTATAGCAGTCTGGGAGTCTGGTGACCCATGTCCTGTGGCGACATGCTTGGCAAATTGAGCCCCTGACAAATTGGAATGTGGTCTAAGTATTTTTCAAGACTGTGAAAGGAGGGTGGAAAAACCCAGGAAACTATTGAAAAACCTGCAACTTTTAGCAGTATATTGCAAAAAAGAGAGGCTTTTCCAGTAATTGCAAAGATTCAAAATGTGAAACGTTATTTAGAAAAAGAGCCTCAAATTATTAGAAAATCTATGATGAATACACCCCAAATGTCAGGAAATAAAAGTAAAAAAATGCCTGAAAACAAAGGCTTTAAAGAACCTTCATTTAGAAAAAAAGACTCAACATATTATCTATTCTTATGTGGCAAGCATAAGGATAGATAATAATAAATGTAATCCTTTTGCATCCATACCTCAGACAGTCTGTAGGTAGCTGTGATTGAATACATTTCTGGAGAATGAGAGAAAGTAAAGCAACCGTGGGCCATAGAGTAGAATGTGAATGTAATCAAGGATTCTTCCCCATTGTCAGGGGAAGGGTTTAAAAACAGAAGCTACCCAGCAGAAGTCCATCTGTGTTAAGAATCTCATACCTGCTAAGTTTTTCTGATCTTCCTTTTTCAGAATGAATGTATTTACTGCTCTTATTTACACATGCTTCATCTTTTGTAATGTGTATGTTGGAAGTAGAATAAAGCAAAAGGTTTGTATTTTATTTTATACATTGTTGCATCATGAGGAACCTTGACCAGACATTATGGAAAAGATTGTGAATCACCCAGAGACTTTAAAATTTCATATAGATGTGACTAATGAAAGGGACTTTGTCTTACCTCCCTTGGGAGGGACTATCTGTGCTTTTCATAGAAATAAGGCTACACATAGTTATTTGGTGGCTTTAGAGGCTGCTATGACAAAGACTAATCACTGTCCAAGAATATCATGTTCCTCTATCTGGGCGTATAGCTAGAATCCCATATCCCATGCATATGGAGGTGGTAGGTAGTCGACTTAAGAATGGAATGAGAGCAGCCTATTCTATAAAATATCCTGCAAAGCAAGGAGAGGCTTCATACTCTATTTCCTTCTATTTTATTGAGTTGTAGATACCTGAATTTCTTTGTAAGCCAAGTGTTGAACACAGTGAAGCTGCTATGAACATGGACCCTGAGTGCTTATGTAGAGGGCAGCTGTTTTCTGAACCTGAACATCCATGGTAGGCTGTAAGTTGGAAATAAATAGCTATGCTAACCCACTGCAATGTTTGGATTGTTTGTTGCTGGAGTCAGTCCTTCCCTAACCAACATAATGATAATGACATTTTTTCCTATTCATTGAAAGAGGATTTTATATAGACATTAAGTGACTTTTAATTTCCAAACCATTATACTCCCATTTTCTTACTTAATATTCATAGTGAGCCCAAAAATGAGATCTCTATTGTATTGTGAATGCACTAGGAGAGGTTTTATTACAGAACCTGAAAATTAAAGACCTGGAAGAGAATTTTAAACTGTCCAAACCCAAAGCCCATGATGGTTTTAGTATTGCTCTCAACATAGTTATGGTGGATTGTACACTTGAAATTAAAGACATTCCACTTTTTTATTTCTTTCAAAAATATCAGTTTCTTCCATCATGTTTTTCCTCTTAATGTGTCATTTACTAATACCTGCTCTACTTGTCATTTTAGCTCATTAAACAAAGTAATATTTCTATTTCCATGTATGGTACTTACATTCCCACCCTCACCCCACCTGAAATATTCCTAATTGTGGAACTCAGAATCTATAACACTATCTTTACATACTAGCCTGTGGCAGTCACAGAGTTGGTCAATTCATCAAACAAGAAAAATCAACAAAAGCATAGCCAATACAATGAATGCATTTTTCTACTCTGTATGTTTAAGTGAGGCCAGGAAGATAATAAATATGTGGGATGTGGCTGTACTTCTATGTGACAGGTATCTGTCATTCATGGGGCCACACCTGTGCAAGCATTCCCACAGTGTGCTCTTCAGCAAAGCTTGTGCTTATACCTCAATAAAATTTCACCCTCTGGATCTGTCTTTTCAGAAATAGCTTTTAAAACATTTTAACGTCTAAAGCTCCATTTATATTAAAGCCAAGCTTCCTTTCTTCTAGTATTCCTCTGCTCTTCATCTTATATTTCACCATTATATGGAATACATTTAATTTTATCCTGTGCATCACTTACCCAATTTGAGTTATTTTTGAGTAGTTTCAGGAGTGAAGTTTTCAACTGGCCACTTTCAAGCCTTCCATGTTTAGGCAGGAGGTGTCCTGAGATACACATAACTGCCAATGCCAGCTAAAAATGGATGAACTAAAATTAGATTTAGTTTGATTTCAGATTCAATGGAATTTAATGTATAAAATAGAAAAACACCATTGGGGGGTGAGCTCGTCCTATAACCCAGGCAGTGTATGAAATTTCTTTTAGAAAACATGAAATTGATATAATATAGTGTATTTTAGAAAGTACATATGCTACTTTTTAAAGAAAATATGTAACAACTTCATTTTACATTCTTTCAAAGAATAATAGCATTAAAAGTATCTTGTGAATATAAATGCAACTACTCTTGTTTTTTATTATAAAGCTAGTAGTAAATGGGTTTATACAATATGTAGGTCACTGTATTTCCTATAGCAGTTGATTTATACACAATAAACATAATAAGACAGTTAAACTGCTTCTTATTTTGTCTAACAAAAAAGCCAAGATTAAACTGGTTCAAACCTCAAAGGCAATTTATAAGACTGAAAGTCCAAAGGCTGTCTGGGTCAATAAGCAACTTGGCCTTGTTATTATAAGGCTCTCTAGACTCTGCTTTTGTGGGGATTTTAAATTTGCAGTAGCTTCGGAAGTGGCTTCAAGCTGCCACTGGAGCACTAACCTTCTTAGTCACATGGGGAAAGAGGCAATGCTTCTCTGCACACCATCATAGAATACCAGGCTTCTCATTGATTTCCCCTCCTTAAATACACACACACACACACACACACACACACACACACACACACACACACACACACACACACACACACATGCTTCACAACCCATATGCTTCTTGACTTAGATTACATGAATTAATCACTGTGGCAAAGAAATAGTTGTAACTCATATTGGCTCAGACTGATCTGTCCCACTGTTGGACCTGAGAGAGGGTTGGTACAAAGGAACAGGAAAGTACAAAATGTAAAGAGGTGATGATATGACTTCTAGTACTTACTAGTGTTTCTATCATTTTGTTGGTGAAGATCTGAAGGTTAGAAAATTCAAATGATTTGACAAAGCAGTAAATGTCAAAGCTAAGACATAAGCTGAGTTTCCAAAGATCACTCTGTTAATCAAGTCACTCTTTATTTTCATTTTTCTCATTATGTGCATTATTTAGAAACAAACAAAATAAATTAAATGTAATGCTTTTTTCTAAGTATCACATCTATTTCCCCTGCCTTTTTCATGTCATGGTGAGATATAAAATGATTCTATTTATATCGTATAAGTTAAGGGTGAGTAGTTTAATTTTAGGTATTGGGATTCTATTTAATTTTATGTATTATTATGAGTTCTTAGTACAGTAGTATTTTATGATTGCTTTGTGGCTAAAAATTGATAATAGTAATTGAAATAATTATAGCAAACACTTCTATAGACTTGGTGTTTTCCTGACACTGTTCTATAAGCTTTGCATATAATAGATCATTTAATTCTCATCACAATGCTGTGTTGTAGCTATGCTGCAAACATAGGTTAAGCTACTAAAATAACAAAGTTATAGCACTTAAAGAAGACAAAATTTTACTTTCCTCTTGTTTAATCATTTGTGATGGGGATAGAAGCTCTATTCTATGGCATTATGCAAGGAGCCAGACTACTGTAATGGCTCTGTTATCCTCAGTAGGCACTTCTAGCTCTGTATAAAGTGCAATTGCTCTGATTATTGACAATTACTAGCTAGTGATATGGGGCAAACAAAGAAACTGAACAATTTATTTGTCCTTAAGGGAAGACCTAGAACACTCATATACTATTGAGCAGTATTCAAACATATGGCTGCACCTGGTTACAAGGGAGGCTTGGAGTTAGACTCTGTAGAATGCCATGTGACCAGCTGAACCCCAAAGGTTTCTGTTGCTAAAATAAAGAAAGAGAAAATAGGTAGTGTGAGGCAGAAGGTTTTGCCACAGGTAAGTAGTATTGTGTTCTCATGTTGCAGCTGAAGAAACTAGTGCAGTTGTCCCACAGTTATCAGTGGTAGAGCCAGGATATATCCAAGATGGTGTGGCTTCAGAGACTATGGTTTTCACCACCATTCAGTGTTGCTGAAATACAAAGGTTTAATATGTAGACTACAAAAGAGAACACTCACCCTCTCACCCTTATCCCCCCAAACCGGTCTTTTCTTTAAAGCTACCAATTGCAATTCCGTGACAATTTTTTCCAAGAATTTGAATTTTTGGTACTTTATTCATTTGAAAGTCATACATGTATTTTCAATAGCTTAATTTTCTTAATCTGTTAAATAATTCAATACTAATAAAAAGAAAACCTTTAAAACTAAATTCCTTTAGCCTTCTATCCATTTTAATCATTATTCTTTGTTTCCTGGATATTTTTTACAATTTTTATATAATGTACAAAGAAAACATTTAAAATACTCTTATTTAATTTAGTTGTCTTTAACTTCATGTGAGACAATTTTGTTAGATTGTATTGTGACAGCTTTCATATCAGCAAGCATTTAAAAAACATTAAAATTGGTAAATTATTACACTTTATTATTTTAAGAAAGGTAAAAATGCAACTGAAACACACACAAAAATTGTGCAATATAAGGAGAGAGTGTTGTGACTAATTGAATGTGTCAAAAGTGGTTTGAGAGGTTTCTTGATACTATTGACATTTTGGCCAAAAAATTCTTTGCTATGGGGCTGTCTTATGCATTGGGAGATATTTGGCAGTACTGTCAGCCTCTAAAAGCCAATAGTGGGAGAAGGTCAATGTACTCAAAATATCAATATAGTTATTGGTAAAAATAAAAAGTATGTCTTTTGCTTTATGGAAAAAAAACTAAACAAACATTTTGGCCAACCCAATACATGTTTCTACAATTGGAAGTAGAATATTCCAGTCCAAATATGCCTGTGGTGATTCAAACATATGAAGAAATTCCACTAAGTCTTATGGGATTGAAAACATGAATTTCACTATAATACAGTAAGACAGGAATAATTTTGTGTAAGAGCATTCTTATAATTGATGGGAGATGATAAATTTTAAATGTAGTGATCTCTTTAGCTATGACATATGATAAACCTAGCTTAAGAGTAAATTTGTTGTTTGAAGAGGATCCTTATACACGTTTTTGAGAGAAGATGGCCCTTGAAACATCTAAAAATATTTGTTTTGTTTTACTTTTAGATTTGTTTAGTGGGCAGATACTTGCACAGTGAAAGTAATCATGTTTCTAATTATGAGCTTGCTTATTAGCTTTAGTATCTTTTTACTATATTCCTGAAATTTTTATTACCATGGTACTTGTCAAATGATGAGTCCCTGCTTCCATAATTCCCTATACACTTATTAACTGGAATTACACTGTAGGGAAGAGCTCTCTTGCTTTCCACTAATTAAGTTATATAATTATGTATTTCTATTAGTACATAATCATAAATATCTATTTTTTGAAATACAATTTACATACCATAAAATTTATACTTTCAAAGTGTACCATTCAGTGGGTTTTAGTGTATTAACAAGGTCATGTGATCATCACCACTACCTAATTCCTTAACCATTACCTCATGCCAAAAAGAAGCTTGCTATCCATTAGCAAAAATTTCTTATTGACTGTAATACCTGTATCTGGAAAATACTAATTTATTTTCTGGCTCTATGGATTTATCTATTCTGAACTTCACCTCTGTACTCAACTCTCCATGCCAACACACACACGTACAAAACACATCCATGCACACATATACAAGCATATTATTTTCCCTATAGAAACATTCTTTTTCCATTTTTCTAATGCAAATAATACTGTTCAAATCTAGATGAACTTTAAAATCAAGACTTTCTCAAAAGCAAAATTTTCCTTGAATCTTTTCCTCTCACCATCTGGAAGACACTTATAATATGTTTAAGAATAGTAAACATCCTCACCCTTCTGAATATCAACTGATGAGAA